TAGGCATCCGAGAAATTTTGTGTCGCTGGGCCCCATGCATAACGTCAAACATTTTTTCAGGTGTTATGACAATTTCAGATTTTCTTTCCAAAGATATTTCGATTGAAGTTAATTCAAGCAGAAATTGTCTCTCATCTCAGCGAAAAGCTCCTTATTTATCTTAGCTAACTATGAAGTATGTTTTTCTTCAAGTCTGTTTCCAAGAAGACCACCTTATCTCTTTGTCTATCCGATTCACGTTCACTTCAGTCGCTAAAAAAGGCTCCTATGCCGAGGCACTACCCACATTTCTTAAACGTAATTTAGCCATGGCTGCACAAGTCAGTTTCACATTTGGATTGTCCCGGAACGAACAAGAGACCAGGAGAACTCCAAAATTTAAAAATGTAACTTTCACAATTAAAAACCACTTTAATTCTCTGTTTTACCGAGAACAAACTAAGTAAGGAGTTAATCCTGGCGTCATCAGGGACCCTGGCTTCGAACGGAGCGTGAATCAGAGAGTCAAACAATCAAAGAAAAATTCCAATTTAAATAACTTTTTTTAAAACATGGTTAGCATTCCGTTAAAAAGAAGTTGCTCCATTATCTTTTACAAATAGTTTTAAACTTTTGTTAAAAACTTGGAAAAAAGATTTACGACTATGCACCGAAAATTATCCGTCGTGTTGGATGTGGCTGATATTTGCTAAGCATACCAAATGTACTCTTCTCAAAACCTATTTCTTTTAAGGAAACTTTACACCGAGGAAAAGTCATCTCACTCTGCTCGAACATGATAAGCTATTCACCTTCTTCTGGTTGTTATGTTTTTGTGCTTATTGTTCCAATGAATTTCCAGAGTGGTTGCAAGTTTTCTCACTGAACAAAACCGTCTGTGGAAAAATTGGCTACGCAGGGTTATATTTTTCAATACTTATTGCACTAAATTTGAAATTCGAACTTGAATTTCCAGAGTGGTTGCAAGTTTTCTCACTGAAACAAAACCGTCTGTGGAAAAATTGGCTATGCAGGGTTATATTTTTCAATACTTATTGCACTAAACTTAAAATTCGAACTTGAAAAAGGTGTCCTATTGATTCTAGCTCGGAGAAATTTCACATGACTAAACACAAAGCAACAGCTCCAGTAAATTAAAAAGTGTTCAGGTAATATTGGAAGGTTAAAAAATGTTTAGATGAAAAATACCTAGAAATCACATAAACCATAACCGCATCAAAGTCTCTTGCAATGAATTCATATTCTACGAAAATTAATACGGCTGCCTTTCCATCTTACGCAACATCAAGCTTATTATCTGTGGGATCTCTCTACATTGGTGTAAGTTACAACGAAATTACAGCAGCTCTTTAAATAACTTCATTGAAGCAATAACCAGCATAGACGCTCCTAGGGGCGGATCTAGGATCTGGGGGGGTTCGAACAAACGGACCCATCTGAGGGGGTCCGGGGGCATGCTCCCCCGCGAAATTTTGAAATTTAAGTCCTCGGAAATGCGACTTCCAGCGTTTTGAGGGATGATGGTGCACGGTTTAATACTTAAAAAATCATCTCTTTTTAAAGCTGTTTTATTAAACAAGGACTACGTTTAAGTCTTTACAATAACTGAGATCAACTGACTCCTTAAAAATGAAACTAAAATCACTGTAATACATTTGTCTTCGCTACTTAATGTGTTCTAAAAAGTGTCATGCCTAAGATTCCTCAAAAATGGGATCAACGAGTAGTATTCTACAAAGTTGTTGTTCGGCATTTTTCTGAACCACATTGTAATCGACTGGCTTTTCACAATGAATACTCATTAGAACCGGCCCAGAGAGTCTCTCGATTGTCATCGCGGTCCGTAGGTAGCCCTTGACTAGTTTTAAAGTGCTGTTTGAGCGCTCGTTATTAGCTGATGTTACTGGAATTGTACATAAAATTCGCAACAACAGATGGATATTCGGAAAGATGTCGGAATCACAAGCCTGTTGATAGAGAGAAAGTGTAATCAATAAAGTCGTCATTTGTTAAGCTAAGGGAAATTTGAACAAAAACATATTGAGTTACTTCGAACCTGCAAGACAGGTTGAAGCGCGTCTGGTTTGTCCGTCTCGGATTTGCCATTTTCTCATCAAACGATCAATGTCGAGAGGTTGTGGGCTTGGGAGATCTGACATATACATCTTGGAAACCTCAGCTATGTCTACATTTGTGCCCCCTTCAATGGCGATGAGCACAAGACCAAGCAATTGCACGGAGGTCTTCTGAGTGGACCCAAATCAGAAAAAAAATCCCTGTAATGAATAAGCCTATTTGTTCAATCGTTCATTATATCTGTAAATATTTAAGGTTAAGTAAACAGTCGAGTGTTTGATAATTTAAAGAGATTACCTTGAAGACATTTCTTGTGTGATTTAGTCAAGGAATGGAATGAACGGATCGCGGCGGTAATATTCCTCAGGTGTGTCATGGGGTGCATTTACCCCATGCTGTTGTCTTGACGCCGTTCTTGGAGCGCTTGGTTCCTTTCCCAGCTTTGAACTGAACTGAACCACACCACTTCCTAAAGACGTATAAGAAGGCGGTGGACTGAAAAAACGATTAATTTCCTGTTGCTTCCCCCCTTTTGGACATAACTCGACCGAATTCAAATAGAACACTGACTCCTTTGGGAAAAGTTGAGCGCTTAATTGAGCGCTGCTGACAGTCGTACAACCACTTCTTGACGAGATAGTACACTTGAATACTGTAACTCTTCCAGTTTCAAGAAAGATTTATAACACTCTTTAATTCTCTCATTTAAACAGTAAATCTTGCGTAACACTATTTACGTATAATAACTCGTACAAATATAATGTTGTTCGGTACATAAATAACTTGAACAAATGGTGTTGTACAGTAATTTACGCAATAGGGCTTGTGTATCTTGACGCTACAACTAATTATAGATATATAATTATTAACTAATCACAGATTACTGCACGCTGATAAGCTCATTGAGAGCGGGACCGTAATTTAATAATTTCCGAAAATGACCACTTTGGGTGCAAGTAGAGTGGATAACAAGCCTGTTATTTTACCAAGTAGACAAATTGAAAAGGAAGCGCTTACATAAAACGAATGTTAGACTAGCATTTTTTTTCGTTCACTTGTGTTTTTTCCTCAGAAACCGCACAAGTTAGAATGTTTTCTCTTTCGGTTTAGGGGGTTCGACCGAACCACCCGAACCACCCCTGGATCCGCCCCAGGCCCCGAAACGTTTGTTCTTTGTACGTTGTGAAAAGATTCCGAAATTATTATTGTTCCTATCGGTTTTAGAAATAGTATAACGTGTGCTCCGGCATTTTCTTCTACAAAAGAAATATAGCTAATAAAGGAAAACCTAAATATACAATTGGATATCAAGTTAACCATGAACTGGATCCTTCCTTATGTGGTCTGTCCCTTGAATACCATCTTGTCATGTCCATCATGTTGTAATTTATAGTAATAACTTTTGCCTGATAGTTTGTGTTCGACCTTTCGTGAACCCACCAAGAGAGGAAAAGGCAATTATACACCAATAAAAACTGCATTTTTGCTATTATAAGGAAAGAAACTCTTTTGAGCCAGAATGCCTTCAACAAACGTCTGATTAAGAAGTTCTTTTCATTATCCGTTTTATATCTTATGAGGAAGTATAAAATTTTTTAATAATGATTTTCTTTTGAACTCTCTTTCTTATTGGCTTCTTTTCGCATTTCTTTGAACGTGACAAGGTCAGAAAACTAAAAGTAGTCGGATTCGTTTAGGAAGAGCTTTGTGGCGTCCGCGTCGGGTCACATTATCACTAAATTTTTGAAACGGCGAGTAAGAACACCCTCAGTCATTTCCGAAACAACTTTTTAAGCTGACAGATGGCAAATTATCAAACATGACGCTGGTAAGGCCCCTAGAAAAGCATGTGATTACAGAATGTGTGTTATTCAACAGTTGGGAGTAGCCGGTGAACTCTTGGAGAGTCGAAAATGAAACTCTTTGACTGAAAGAGAGCTTTCATCCTGTGCATTATCGATTTGATTCTCACCGTACCTAATGCCGTGTTCTATTTTTTCTTCAATAATAAACATAATTGTTAGAATGTTTGATATATTCACCACACCGATTGTCTTGAATTGAACGTAGGCCGTTTAAACGTTTAAAAAGATGTTGCAAAAAGAATTTTAAATACAATACGTTGTAGCAACAGACTTGTATTATTAAAAGACAAAATTGGCAACTAGCAAAAATTTTCATCATGTGGTTTTTGACTTCTTTGAACGTGAAAATAGATGAAAATAATATGTTAGCACAAACCACTCAGAAAAAATTATAATAAGCCAGTTAATCATTTCTTATTCCTTTGGCGGTCTTTTCTTACAGGTATAATTTAGCATGCTCAACACCTCTTTTACTTAGAGGTGACTTTAGGCGTAAGCATGTAGTACTTTTCATCTTCCGCACTGAACTTGTAATCAGATAACTTTTACGGCTAGCGCGTAGCTCTTCTCTACGCCCTTTCTTCTTCGAATTTTGTGTTTATTCTGCTGTTATGCAACAGCCTTCAAGGACTATTTTCTCTTAAGATATCTTTTTAAGTATGATTTTAATTCTGTTGTTAAGTTCATTATAATTTTTCTTTTGTCAATCTTGTTTTTGTTTTGTCCGAACTTGACCGTAAGACCAAGAGATTTAAGTTAGAAAGACATTTCGTAAAGTGTAAACATCGCAAAGGTATCTAATTAGCATGCGAACTCCTCTCTGCGTAGTTTAGCGTGATTCGATGGTTAAGTGTAAAAAAATGACGAAGGTTAGAGATTGACGGCTCAGTAAGTGTCACCTTTATAGGCGGTGATCCACACTTTCCTAGAGAGATCAGAGCTAGTCCCCGTTGTAATAACTTGCATAATAAAAGAGAGAATAAAAGAAATAGTCAACTGAACGACGAGTGTTAGGAAATTATTTCTAACAGTATTAACAAAGTTGTGACGCCATTGATCTCTGGTAAACTAACATTTGTTATTGTACTGATTACCCTGAAACAATCAGAGAAAGTAGACCTCTGCAATGATTTATGACACTGAGCCATAAATGACCAAAAATAAGTTACAAAGTTGAACACTACAATAAGGTTTAATACTGAACATCTTCAGTGGTAATAGACTTAATACAACGGCGATGATCAAAACGAATAGTGGGACAAAATCGAGGAAAGGTTAACATGTCTTTTAAAGTAGGTTTATGCAACTCAACAAGCCATACCCTCTTTACGCAAAATGCACCTTAGAAGAAGCATTAATTGGAAATTACATCATTTTCATCGAAACAGATCACTACCTCAGTTCTTCTTATCTTTCCTGAAAAACATTTCTTGTGATGGCTTTTGAACAATGAAAAATACAAATATCGTTGTTTAACCTCGACATTAAAATCTAAGGTAACAATATCAAGAAGCAGGTTTACAGGATGGATTCAATGGTAGTGAACCCATAGCTCTGTGGTGCCCTTGAAGTGCTGATATCTTTCCCTTGCAACTTTTTGTCCACCAGATATTCCTTTCCCATTTGCTGCTGACTCCATGTAAGTACCTTGTCGATATTCGGTGTCTCGATACCCATGATTTCAGCAATACCTCGGATGACAACCAAGCCAAACGGTATATCCTCCGTCATGTAACGGTGGGAGAAATCTGGAAGGAATTTTCCATCCTCAGTTTTCTTTACGGGATGTTTCAACCCTTGGTAGGCAGCATTAGTTTGTATTGCTGTGTAGAGATTGGTCTTGTCAGAGATGTCTTGTGGATAACATCTCATGTACCAATTGTAAATGTGCTCCACCTGTACAAGATCGCATTAAAATAGTTGACATTATGACAGAGCTATTAATCGAGCAAGAGATAGCTGTTAACCAGAAGGGGGACGTTAGTGGTTAAGTTCTGGCCTTAGAAAGCTTCACATTAAAGGAAGCCCTCATAAAAGTGTCATGCAAATTAACTTCAAAGTACAAACTGAAACTTCCTTATGGTATTACGAAGATATGCTGTATTACCCAAAAAAATGGAGTGCAGATCTATACCCGTGACAAAGATTTAACGAATCTTAATGCGAAACTCGCAGATAAATTGTTAACTACATTGACAAAAAAGAAGTAGCAGTTTGCGAAAAGGCCTATTAAAAAATACACTGCAAAAGTATTTGTGATGAAATACGCAGGGAATTAAATAGTTGGTTATTAAAGCTATTGACATTTAATGCTGATGCCACTCGCAGTTGCTACATTTGTTATTTTGTGTGTCTTTATCTTCCTAGTTTCTGTTTAGCGCCGTGAGAGACTTTTGTTGGGAAGTTCTTTGCAGTGGACAGTATAGAGCGTTGATGAGAACAAATAAGAGTGAGATGTCATATCGTGAGATGTCATATCTTAATGTAATGCAGTCACGTGAAAGTGAGAGAACAAAGTTATGTGTGTCTTATGTGATGTGGAAGAGAAATAAGTAAATTTCATGTACATAATTACGACCTTTCGTAAGTTATTCGAAGTAAGTTTGCGTCGTGCGAACGATTGTCTCAGTCTTTCATTGGGACTCAAAGTTTGAGAATTCGTGGGTACAGTTTTGTTTCTTGTCAGGGGAGAAATCCCCCACTCGAATGTAACATAAATTGTAAATCAAAAAATAAAGTGGAACGCCTTACGTTAGACATATCTGCTCCTGTTTTCTCTGCAAAACCCTTAGCAATATTCACAACCTCATCAGAGACACTGGAGATAATACTTGCTGCTGACTTGGTCAAGCCATTGTAGAACAAAGGTGCTTCAGCCAGTGGCTTTCCGTCCCAACCCTCCCACTGACCATAAGTTATTGAAGTGTGCAAATAGGCATTAACACTCATTAACTGAACACCCAAAAGGTGACCCGAAACGATCAGTTTAGGGAGAGGTCCCAGGAGATATTGCAATGTTGATACCGGATCCTTCTTGGCTGTCAAACCCTCTCCTTCCTTTAAAAACAAAACACCAAACCAAAAGTTAAAAGTGGGCTTGCAGTCCACGACGCCTAGCACTGCAGGTAGGAAAATGTGTTAACTAACGACGCCGTGGAAATTTCGCAATGACAGCGTGACTTTACATGTACATCCGTCCGTGTGAATATTTTACTTGAAGTATTTAAATACGCATGCTAGTCAAAGAAACAAAGTAAAAAAAGTTTTCTACGCTCTTTCTCGACTGAGATTAAGATTTTCGAGCTTCAGATGAAAGGCACGCGGGCTGAAAGATACTCCAGTCTGTTGAGAATGTATATCACAATAAAAAAAATAGGCAGCTTAAGACTGCATATGGCTCCTGATAAAGCACAATCTTTATAACACTGAAAAGAACTAGGGGTTGTATAATGATGCCAGAAGGAGGTATTGCAGAAGATTTGTCTCACTTGCAAAACAAAATACGCTACATCCCACAAATTTAGGAGTACCTTGTTCCACAAGAGAAGATGATTCAAGAATGTAGAGAATAATGAATGAGTTGCCAGTGATCGATCGGATCTTTGTGTTTGTGCAAAGATTTCTGGGATCGCCACGAGGCAAACATTGCAAAACGCTCTAAAGAAATGTATGGCGAAAGGTTGTTTCGATGTCCGAAAAAAACCATTCTGAAGATTATCACTTATTTCGCTGTTGTTTATCAGAAATAGATTTGGGTAATGTTGATACAAGGGAAGTGTGAGTTTTTGTTTGAACGACCATGAAATATATAGTAAAATCTACCGACTGTAAACTTTTGTCCGTGCGCAAGGTTTATTGTAAAATTGAAATCGCGTAATGGTATCGCAGTTCAATAATATTAGCAAGAAATCAACAAGAAATGACTCAACAAAGCTTTTCGAGTTATTTTGACGTATTTTGTCTATTGCTAGCTTTTTTCGTGGCTTGGTAATTCAAAAGAGCGCCTCGAGGCGGCAGTAGATCGAAATGGTGTGCTTGAGCATTAAATATTATCGTTCTACACTAAAGTTATTTAACACCTGCATTGCTTTCTTATAGTGATCAATGAGAACGGACCAGCGTTAGTAATCGGTTAAAAAGTGAATTTTCTCTTCTGCGACGATGAGTACGCACAAATGTGATGTACTATTTCAAAAACGAGTGCGAAGGTTTCATCACGGAGAAAACTGATGAAGGCTCGAGGCCGCAGGCCGAGTGATTTTATTTTTTTCGAGTATTTGGAAACCCTGATGAAACCTGATGCACTAGTTTTTGAAAGAGCTTCTCAATCGCGCCTCAGGAATGAAAGGAAATAGAAATATTCACGAATTTTTCAAATGTTGTCGGCAAGTTTGTTGTATTGATATTCAAATTAAGAAATGAGTTCACCAGAGTTTGATTCTCTATCAAACTCAAGGGTTTGATTTTACATGAAACTCATGGATAGCGCGTCATTTCAGTGTTTCACCAGGGTTTCAAACAACAGACACGTGACGAAATTAGCGTCTCTTGGTTGGATGATCACGTAATGAATAATTTATGAGTTCGAGAAGCACAATTGATATATGTCTACAGTTTCTGCTGGAGTTCCTGTGATCTTGATTTCCCTGACAAGATCCTCCAAGGGGCTCCAGGAGCAAAGTTATTTTGTGACAATTCGAGACCATTACGCAACGACGATTTCACAATAAATCTAACGCTAGGAGAGAAGTTTATCATCGGTATATTTTATACCATATGTCGTGCTAATTCTAACAAACCGTCCTCTTCCCTCGTATCAACATCATCTTTATCCATTAACGATAAAACCCGCGGCGAAAAAGCGTTGATCTCTCGCCAAAATCGTTTTTTTAGGACGTCGAAACAATCTTTCGCTATATATTTCACTCTAGCAACTTACAATATTTGCCCCGTGGCGATCCCATGAATCTTTGCGCAAACGCAAGGATCCATTTTTGTGAGGCAATTGTTTCATACAACAAGGTATTCTGCGTTGTAGGATATTCCGCCGTTCCACCGTTCCATCATTCCGGCAAATAGGGTCGCTCTAATGAACCCAACGTATTGTATTTCGGACCTATCTCGCTTCGAAAGTAGCGGCTCCTTTGGGCAATAGTCGCTGCTTGAAAGGATAAAATGTTCTCTTCGAAGAGATAAAATTTTTCTTCAAAGTTTCCACGATGTGCGGATCAAACCTAGTTTTTTGAATAACTCAAGGTATCGCATTTCGCAGCTTGCTCGCTCCGCAAATTTGGCGGCCCTTTCGGCTTAAGTCGTCGATTTAAACCATAAATTTTCTCTTTTTAAAGAAAAAAAATTTCTCAGGCCACCGTAAGGAGATTTTTTTAAATTAAGAGCATCGTCTTGTGTTGGCAATATATCGAAGCGTGCCAGGCATAATTCATCTAGGATCCAAGACTTTGAATAGAGGGTGCCCGCTTGATACAGGTTCGACTCAATAAAATTGTCATGAAACACTTTCTCGTGGCATGCGAAGGTCATTCACACTCGTCACCCGTATTTTCTTGAAATACACACTCACCCAGAGGCTTGTGTGTATACTAAGAACGTTCCACTCAAAAGCATTGTACGACTGGGACATTTCCAATTCCCTTTTCAAGCGCGAGGACCCCCTCTAAATCATCAAATGATGCGAAGTAAACGTACCTTCACGGCTCCTAGAAGAGTCTCCTTGGTACCAAGAACTTCGCATTTAGCGCCAAACTCAGTAATGCGGCATGCCCATGGTAAAGATTCAAAATTCATTACAGTGCATCGCCGTCCTGTCTCGCCCAGCACGTGACGAACTTGGAATTCAAAACCTGGCTCTCCCGGCATACCAACAAGTACTGTGCCAGGTTTTATATAGGGTTTTAAGGCATCCAGGAAGACTTGATGCGCAAACGCTGGAAGTACGAAAACGACAATATCCACATCCCGCATGGCATCCCGAGCGCTTTTAGTTACCATCGAAGGTTTCGATGTAACAAATGTTGTATCTTGTCCCTTCCGATGCAAGACAACTTCAAGATCCTTGATTTGCATGTTAGTATTCCAACGTTCTGCTTCATCTTGATACAGGCTAAGCACACGAACTTCAGTTCCCTGCAAAGAGGACGCTATGCCGGCAAATGCGTGCGCTCCATTACCGCTGCCACATATCAACAGCTTGATGTCCTCTGAACCCATCTCCTAGAAAGAGTATCTTCTGTTAGAAGTAACAGATTAAGAAAAGTACTTCACGAGAGGAGCAATCTTACAATAAATGGCTTTCTATTACTGTTCTTTATGCATTATTGGCACATAAAATCAAGGTATGTAAAACAACGTACAAATCATTGTCCCACAAGTTTACCTAGGGCGGTTACCTCATCAGGTCCGAATGAAAACAAAGAGAAACTGATCGATGTTATTTCAGTTTGGCTCTCTTAGTAATAGTGAAAGTGCACCGGGATTGTTTACCACCCAGGCATTTAATTCTTGTGAACCTATTCATCTTCTTTTTTTTTCGAATTAATCTTTGAAGACAGCCACTGACTAATCAGTTTTTATACTGTTACTGTTAATTACCCTTTTAAATAAAGATTATTAGTTTATATCTCATGCAAGTGAATAGTACTTTTCGCGCGCGCTGATTGGCTAAATTGGAGCTGAAAAGCAAATACAGTTCACCCCCACTTTGATGAATAATTGTTAATTATTATCATTATAATTGTTATCATAGCGATATATGTTTTGTTCTTTAGGCGGGCAGTATTTCTATCACCACCCAGGGGCAACGCTTCTCCGAATCGTCTTCTTATTCTCTTCAGTTTTATGAATGTCTAAGCAGTCAATCGTCTTCTTATTCTCTTCAGTTTTATGAATGTCTAAGCAGTCAATCCTTTGTCTTCTCTTACCCTTCGCCAAACTCCTGTCGATTATTAATCTATGCAGATTTATCTCCTTTCACTGTTCACTTTTGAACGGCAGTGGAATATATTGTTGGGTGAGTGTACTAAAGTTGCGAGGATTTGTTTGTTCGTTTACCGTTAGGGCGCTTGTAGAGTCGATTTCCGCCGTTTCTCAAGTCCGGTCCCGAGAAGCGAGGGAGTGGAGCGGGGGTTGCTGAGCGGGGTTCCCGATTTTACTTACTCACTCTGTTATGCAGTTTGTGGTTGAAAAGTCCGACTGCAACGGACTCTCAGAAACATCCAAAATGTACTGATAACAGTAGTATAACTCACTAAGAGAGGCAATCGTAAGTTCATCGAATAAAATCACTGTGATATAAAATTTTTAACTCGTGAATTGCGCGCATGCGCAAGAGCGAGTTGTAGATATGAT